GTGAGTGAATGCATGATTGCAGTCGTTCATCATCCGTAAGTCCATTCTTCCACTACGCCATGAGAACGGAGCCAACTTTTTTGATGGGCAGGTCGCGATGGCAACGTCTCATCACCAGTCAAATTCGAAATTGACTCGTGCAAAAACTCATTAGATACCGTGGTCCGGAATAAGCAACTATCTCTTTAGGGAAGTAGCTTGAGTCTAGACTTGACTACCCTAGCCAATCCGAAATTCACAGCAGACCTGACAACATATTCCGAGTACAGGAGCCGTCAGGAACTGTTAGGAAGAAAGAATAAGACCGAAGTATCAATGCTAAGCATTTAAAATGGTTTTCTATACGGCTATGGTATAGGGGAATAAGTGGAGCAGATAAAAGTTGGGGTCTGATGATCGAGTGTTGCCTTGGTAGTGTTGCCAAGGACTGAAAAGGTGCTATGTGCGACAGCGTTGCTACAGCACCGCAAAGGTATTTGAAGTAAACGCTCATTTTTCTGAAGCTACTATATGTATGGCATTCGGAACTAGATTTTAAAGCTTTAATCTTTTAAGTACGTCTGGGTAATGGTATCGGTTTCAGCAAAGCAGTCATTATCAACCGTTTTTTCTATGGAACTCAACTAGTGATTAGCTAAACTAACAAGTAGTCAGTTGCTAACAATTGAATCAAGGTCGTGAAATCATAGAACTTCGTCGCCTAGTCTGCAATACCTATGATTATCCCAAAGCGATCATATCTGACGAATCGCCGGTCTGGACTTTGTACCAGCCTTTTGAGTGGTGAGTTAAGGATAATCTCGGAAATTTTCGGACTATTCAAAAGTAGACTCTCATGCGTTGTTAGCGATTGGCGGTACGAGAAATTTCTGAAGAGAACTATCTACAACGAGACGGTCAAAGGCGACCGGTCAGCTAAGCCAGCAGAACATGCGAGCTTGGTATGGGATATTTGGAGCAGGAAGAGGTGTGTGTTTCTATGGGACCGATTACTTGGCGACGACGGTCGTCTGGCCAACGCGGTCTCTGCGTGTCTCCAAGGCGATCTCTTTGGTGAGTTTCTCCCGAGTTCCAGTTAACACACAGTCCTCCCTTTATCTCTACATCTACACTTTCTATTCCATTTATTTGCTTACCGTTCGACCAAGGCTGGTTGCTCCCTCATTCCATGTTTCAATGCGAAGCGATTTGTGTTCTTGTACTAGTACATCTCATTCATTGTAAATGGAGTCGTCTAAACGAGGCCGATTCTGATTTACTTAGTGTGTCTCATTTTTAAAGACAGCCACATGAGATCGTAAATCATCGTTCCGAAATGCGTGATCTTAATTAGTTTCTCAATTATTACGCACTGGAGGATAAAACTTAATGGGAAAGTGAAATGACTCAAGATTTGAGGCTTTCAAGAAGGCCAAACATTTTTTGTGAAGGAGTAAAATGACTCTAGACCACGCAATAACTGAAAAGTAACTGTAAATAGTATCTCAGGTGTTAGCCACTGAAACTCTACAAAAGCAACTATGGAGCAAAAACAAAGTGCGTAACAAAACAATCTCCTTTGAGACCATTGGCTTCGATGGCTTCATGCGTTTCACTAAGCTCCCATTCCAGAGTCTAGATGTTCCCACTATCGTCTAATTGCAGTAGTAAGACCCCTGCCAGGTGGTGTGACCTAAGCAAGGCTCTTTTGACTCTCGCGCCACCACCATCGCCTCCATCCCCACCCACCCCCGCGAAACTCGTAAAACTGAGCAAGCAGCTCGACTACATGGTTCTTTTCAGCACTACTACCTATGCCTATTCCGACAATAACCAATATAACACGTATTATCAGGTGAGTTCTGTACGTTTCTAATGTTTTTGAGAGAATCTAGCCATCCACGTCTGCCTTTCGTTTGACTCCGAGCGTTTTCCACTTTCAAATTGGGCATTACAAGTATGTCACGTACAAATTTCCCGTTTAATTCTACTTTTATATCAGTATTCCGGAAATGTGCACTCTCCTACCGAGTCATATATGCAGCACGGACATGGTTCCCATTCACCGGTTTCGGTAGAAGACGAAAACTCAACCGGATTGGGAGCGGCCACCCGAGCTTCTCCAGCCACTGTGAGTCTGTTTAACAAATCCACACAATGCTTTGTGCATGAAAGCACACATGATACCAAATAGCAGTGATAATTAGTCGGTAGTTTTAGTAGCCGACCAAATTGCGGATCACAAGCGGCAGATTATGCCGCTCACCTGGCCATTTTTGACCGGCTACCTCTGGTTTTTATGGCTCATCGGCCATTCGGGCAATAGAGTTCAACAACATTCGCGCTTATGAAGCGATTTTTAGCGCTAGACTATGATTTATTGGCCACAGTAATTTTTATGCAAATCTCAAACTCAATACGCAACTTTACTTATGGTGCATCTCTACGATCCGTCTCGGGCAAATTTGTTTTGCGAAGTTTTCGTGAGATCGTTTTATGGATAGCAACCAAAACGCATGGCTTTTACAACAGCCAAAACCTGAAGATTTATCTCAAAGAAGAAGTTCGAGTGTTAGTATGAAGCTGCTAGCAAAACGCGACCACCTTCAAATCTGACAGCTCGTGCGTGACAATGTAACATTTCCTAATGAAGACGCAACAGGTGCTATGTGCATACGAATAATTACTGGTTCGGCTCGGGCCCAAAAAACCTGCCGAATATGGCAGCGCACCTGTTTCATGTTTATGACATCCGGTGAGCGAATGCTCGGGAAATTTTTAGCGGAGCGGGCTCAAGCGAAGCTTCCAGAGGATATCATACTGTAGGCGGCCGCCATTGGCCAGCTGCCGTCTTATCGATTACACGTGCCAAGTCGGCAGAGTTTCTAAACATCTACGGAAAATACAAGCTTTTTTCACCCAGTGAGAATAGGAAATGTCAAAATTCAGGTTATTGGTATCAATAGCTATACCATTTTATGGTACTCAGTTTTGCATACGCTCACGATCTTGCAAAGTAACGACAAAGCGACAGAACACATGGGAGAACCCCAAGTGCACCAGCAGTACTCCGTGCCTATTACTGGGTTACGTAATCTCAGCTTTAAAGAGTACAGCACATTCGAATCTTTTTCGTGGACATTGTTCGCGGGCAGTTGTTGTTCGCTTCGAGTGGTAGTTTCGGCTTTCCGGTTGAGAGCCAATGTCGCCCTAGCAACTGGCCCAAATTCTCCAATACTTTCACTTTGAATTGCTCATACCGCAATTGACAACTTTTCTTGTTTATCCTTCCACCGAAGTTTTGTTTTTCTCTTTTGCCCACTTCTCTTTCTCTCTTGTTTTCTTACATGGTAAAGGATCTACACAACTATTCTTTTCTGAACGAATTCTTTCTCCTTCGATTTCTTAGCAGGTGACTTATCAAAATCGTGAAGTCATTCAAGGAAATCACTACTTCTATAGCACTGTTCTTTTGCACTGCTTTTTTATAATTAGTTAAATCGAAGCCTATCATAAAATCGCCATTTTAATGGATCGTGGGAGATGAGGTCGTAATTCTAGCTGTGAGCAAATGCAGACAGTACCGAAATGACACTTGATGAATTCGTTCGGATTGAACTGACACCCGAAACACGGCTACATGTAGGTTTGTCGTTATCGGAAAAGAAATACAAAAACTATTATTAAAAAAGAATCAATAGCACTGGCATCGTCGACAGCTGGTAGTTCAGTGGTTGGACACTTATGGAAATATTGGCTTTGAATTCAAGAGTACCGTACCATACTGTTTGCCTTAATAAGCAGAGACAAAACAGATTAACTAGTCAGTGAAGCCTGAAATTTGTAGTAATCGAATTGTCAAATTGAGATTTGATCTTTGCCGGCCGATTAATATTTTCTTATTAGCTTAACAGAATCCGCAGCACGATGGTGACATGATTTCATTTGCGGATATCGGAGTAATTTTAAGAACTACACAAGGAAACGCTGCTAGCTATTATCACTAAGTGGCTGTTTTATCCATCAATACCGTATAAGTCATTTACCTTAGTTGAATTAGAAACTTCGGAAAGCTCCGCGATGGGCATATTCCGATTACTAAAGCTTCGATACTATGGTAGTAAGCAGGTAACAATTAGGAGGCCTACTTTACTCGATAGCCTAGCAGGACGCTGTTAAAACATGTTTTGATTTTCACTGGATGGTTTGCTTTTCAGTGATTTCCCTTTTTTCAAATCATGGAGTGAAACGTATTGTTTTGTAGCCTTGTTCGATGGATATTCTGCAATCTTAATGAAAACTCTGTACACAACCTTAATCTGTTAAAACCACTCACCGTTTTATGTCGTAGGAGTGCTGCTCACAGTTCTTTAAGGAGTGAGTTCATTCTTACGATCTTCGGGTAAGATAATAGATGATAAGCCTTCGGAAGTCTGTTCATATCGAGAAATCAATCTAAGATAATCAGATTCTATAGTTAAACCGACTTCACTAGGTACGCATAAAAAACAGCAAGACAACAAATTGAGTTCTAAATGGAGATCAACATGCTTCGAACGTAGGAATGAAAAACACCAACGCCTGAAACTTTTGAAACTTCTTAGAAAGATGTTGAACAAAACAAAAGTGAATAAACAAGTTGGATCTCTCGACTTAGTGTTGACCGTATCCCAAATTAGCCCTCTTTGCTTTGAGCTGGTTTCACTTATCATCTCCAATTTTAACAGCCCAAGGTTGGCCTCACTTCCCAAAAAATGTTAACACCGGAAGAGCGTTCCGTTTTTTTAACAGACCAAAGATTTGTTGACTTTTCGCTAGATATCTTCACCGAACAAAGCTACACATGTATGCCTCTCCAGACTCTGAACAAGGCGAAGTCGCTGAAACGTCTAGACCTTTGAAAATCAAAATATGTTTTAAAAACGTCTCCGTCAGGATATCAAGAACATTTTGCAAGTGTAGACTCTACCAGCATTTTTTTATAGAATTATTTAACGAACTCCCACTTTGAGGACTCTTCCTTGATTCATTCAAAATTCCAGATACAATGGCTGCTGGATAATTACGAGACAGCCGACGGTACTTCGCTACCACGATGTGCTCTTTACGACCATTACAAAAAGTAAGCAGCTTCTTACCTAGTAATGTTTATTGTAGTCATTCTTTTGCTAATAAAGGAAAGCCTTCTCAAATAAACTAGATTGAATTGATCTACTTCGCAGATGTTCAGCAGTATTCATTCGTTCGTCATTCAGTCATTCAGTTCAGTTCAGTCATTCAAAACCTAGAATTGGGCAAAAATACATAGCCTTTCAACTTTAACGTCTATGCAACAACGTGACTTTTAAGTCATAAGATAAGAAAGTAATGACCGCTTTCAATTTTAGGCCATTACCTTTTAGATTGATTACCTATTGCAATAAAATCTGACCTAATCTACAGATTTTAGCCTCGGATTCATAAGTCCATTTGTTTTACCATAATGAACATGCAAATTTCTGGATCCTATGGAACCCATCCTTTCCGCTTTTCCTCGCAGAAGCTCGTATTTCGAACATGAAAGAAGTTGAAGGGGTTGAATTTCGTCTATAAAGACACATTGATATTCAACAGTGCATCGTTAGTTTCAACACCTGACACTGTTTTGGGGGAAAATTTTTAAAACCCAGGTCTTCTTTCCAATTTTTTAGAAGTCTAATTTTAGGCAATATTGGATTAAAGGAAGATTTTAGGAAAACTTTATGTAATCACCTTATATTTAGGGAATGCATCACCGCACGTCGATGTTTGAAGACGCTGCGGGTGATTTTTAAAAAACTACGGTAAACGAGTATTTGGTGTAAAAGCATGCAGTATGAAGAAAATTTTGTGTGAACATAACACTTTAAAGAATATACCTGCACCTTGAGATTATCTCTTTTATAACTTGATCATCTTCTAAGCTTCAAAAATACTTTGACTACTGGAAAATCGTCCCCAACTCCATTATTCCCACCTCCTCACTTACTATTTTAAAGATCGCCGCGAGAAAAGTGTTTTAATCAGTTTGCATCGTATTTTATTCGTGCCTTCATATAATGAAGCAATCTTCATCGAGAATCGCAACGAATGGAAAAGAACTTCTAGCCGTATCGTAGTCGGCAATGCGTTGCCTGGGGCAACCGATTGTGCTTCAGCCTTCTCACCAGGGTGGACGGATCCCGCCGCACCTGAGGGACCTGGTCGCAAAAGTTAAGATTTGTGAGAAGGTACTGACAACACTAAGTGCCTTATATAGCTAAGTAGTTAGAGATGCTATGAAGAAGTACGCGCAAAGTCGTTAGTACTGTCCTGCATCCTGGACCTCTCAAGCCATCCATCGCCGTGGTAAATTGTCGCGAGATTTGTCCGGAAGAGCAAAAACATTAGCTTGAGTCTGCAATTTATTATATGGGTCAGATAAGTATTCAACCACTTCTGCTCTTGTTGGAGTCGGGTGAATAGCCCACCTCTCATGGGTTGGTCAACGGTGAATGCTTTATCCTTTCAGGTCTAACAACGTAATAATGAACGTGAGAAAGTCCCTCATAAATGCTTGATAGATCGCTAAAAGTCTAGCTTCACATTGTGTACATTGGTGTAGCCATCATTACTTTTTTCGTGTTCATGATAATTCAACACTATTAAAGAATTCATTACTATCTCCATATTTCCCAGACTGAAAAAGTTTTCATTGAAATGCAAATGTTTCTTGGAAAGGCTGAAATATGGTGCCAATGAAAATGTTGTAAAATTGTCTGGTTTTTCAAGGACCCTTTCACGTTTACGATGCACCAGCAGAAAAATTCACCTTTTCATGGCATATTGTCATACCTGTTCCGGAACCATCCTAGTTTTTTGTTCATGAATCATTCGTCTCCACTTATTTCTGTCTGTACTGCAGAACATCCAAGGATTAATGAAAGAAGACTTGTCCATACCTTAGAGTGAATTTGCCCTCGCCACAATTTTCAATTGCAAAACTTCGCTTATTGGTGTTTGTCATTGATTCTAAACGTTGTCATTTCAAGTCGTGTTGCCAAACTCCAACTTATGTTCTTGTGAAGAACTCGAAGACTAATGCTCTCTTATAAAATACACTGCTGGTCGTGGAGCGCAGATTCCGTTAATCGGCCTTTAACGTATTTTATTAGAAGGTTTAACAACCGTGAATTATTAGTTATTTTCTATGAAGTAGCTAGATTTCCTAACATAAGTTCGCCAATACCCCTTCATCGAGCGCATTTGGTTATGAAAATTTTCACACATGCTTGTTGGACACCTGGACTACCTACCCTGAGGTAAGTCATCGACTTTGAGTGACTTTTGATATGCTCCATTAAATTCCTCCATTCGTCTCTGTTCCACGTAAGAACAACCCAGTGAGTCGAGCTCGCTCACTTGAGCAGCACCATATTTTCCAACTAGGATTTTCATAGAGGATAGATTACGAACAGCGTACAGGTGGTCTTCTTACTGCGTGATCGACATCCTGAGTGATAACTCGGTAGTGGTACTTATAGACTGATTATCGTTAAAACGTTCTATGTGCACGATCCAAGTTATTTCCAATGTGTTGGCGAATTTTGCGACGTCTTTGGTCCTACACCGACGTTTGTGATATCGGATACTCCAGGCATTTCCTTTTCGATAGTTCTTTCAATGACACTGGTAAATTTTTTGCTTTTCTTAAGTAGTGACTAGGTTTTGGAGATGTAGTTCGAGATAGGAAGATCGAGGAGTCGGAAAAGTTGGTGCATAGCCTTTCCTTTTTCTCCTCTTGATCGTTCATACTACAAAGTTTAGTCAAGCTGATCGTTTACTTCCGCGAGCTCTGGAGCAAAATTGTTCATAATGCTTGCTTCTCATCCCAGGTACACATAGCTGGTGCGTTCGAAAATCTCCCTTTGAGCGTTAATGGGACATCGGAAACAAGTCTGTTTCTCACGAATATCTTTTTCGTGAGATATAGTCGAAGACCAATTTACAAGCGTGGTTGAAGTCGGAAGGCATTCATACCGCCTTACTAATACTCGAAATTATAATAGCTACATCGTTAGAAAATCAAACATCTCAGAAGACCGACTCTCTATGAACCTCGGCATAGATAGTTGATAGATTTATTTATATGATCGTATAAACTGATCTTCTTTAGCTGATGAGAGGTTGGTATAGGTGTTCGTTGTCGTTGTCGTTGTTTTTGGTGTTGTTGGTCGATGGTTGACGTTTCGGCGATTTCGCCTTCCTCAGAGTCGTGATATGGGTCCCACTCGTAATATCACTGCTCTGAAGAAGGTGAAATCGCCGAACCGTCAGCCATCGACCAACAACACCAAAAACAACGACAACGACAACGAACACCTATACCAACCTCGCAACAGCTAAAGAACATCAGTTTATAGGACCACATAAATATATAAGTCGAATATCGTTACAAGTTCCAGGCTTTCACCGTCTTATAATTCCACATCAGATTTCGTATGAAGCTATCTCCCGTAGGAGTAACATCGATTAGGCTGAAGATTCGTTTTAATGTTATACTGTCTTTTTTGTATGGTTGACTCTTCATTATTGGACTCCAATATCCAGCGTACACATTGAAGCTTGATCTTAGCTGTACAACTTCCCAAAGACCGTTTAGAAGTACCCGACCCAGTTTTTGGGGTGGATTCATAAAGATTATTAAGACCAGCATTAATTTAGCTAAGCACTTTATCCTTAGGTTTACAAATACCAATCTCAGGACAGGACAAATATAAGGTCGTTCTTCGAAAATGTTTAACCCCTATCCGCCACTTGAGGATGCGTCATACAACTTCGCGACTGCCCGACTGACAAACTGTGCATATCTTCTTGATAGAGATCGGCGGCGCGTCTACAATTAATTAAAATCTCGTTTTTAAAAACATGTTACCCATTTTATTACGAAAATTAACGCTCATGAATTCTTCATTGGGTTGCTTTCCATGAAAACTCTACCGAAGCGTAATTATTCGGTATCCGTCTGTTTCATTAGCCAGAATTTCTTCTTTTTTAGTTATTCCCTGTTGCAGACATTGTCACGAACATAAGCTGGACGCTGTGAACGCGGCATCTTTCGGAAAGCTGATACGGTCGGTGTTCAACGGATTACGGACGCGTCGTCTGGGCACTCGTGGTAACTCCAAGTACCACTACTACGGTATTCGGATCAAGGCTGACTCGCCACTGATGCAAAACCACATTCCTGAGCGTTACTCACCGCATGAGGCATCAGCACCCATGACCAGATCGTGAGCTTCTAAACTCTCTATGAAACGAATTCTGAACAAAAATCAAGTGCAGCAATTTAAAACTCGTTAATAGAATGTCTTGTTCCGATTGTCCCAGAAATATTCTGGATGGCTTTGTCCGTGGTAGAATAATTCGAATTTTCTGTGAATTTAGAACAATGGGATAAAAGAACCCTTGGTACTACCTCCCTTCTTAAAAGTAAGGCTGTTGCTACAAAAGCGTTGCTGAAATATTGTGTAGTTTTCGTCATAGAAACTCAGGATTGAAAACGTTTTTTATATCAGACTTTCCAGAAAATGCGGAAGAGAAAAAACAGAAAACGTGTCATAACTCATTCCCAAGTGAAAACTCTTATCCAAAGCCTTTTGTATCCAGAAAATACTGGTCTAAACACCTTTCCAAATACTAAGCAATCGAGGAAAATCATCTAATTCGAGTTTTCTTTTATGAGGCTCAAAGTGTGCATTTTGTCAGTTGAGGGCTATCAACAAATCCTATTGCTTGAATGGGTTACTCTGAGCATACATAAATCATAGAACCAAAATTAGACAAGTGTTTAAGGCTGAACATGAAATTTCGAGTTTTAGATCATTGAAGCGTCCCAGCACGGCGATGTCGCTACAGCACAGCAGACCTGCAAGCAGGTACGGTGTCTTCCAGTAAACATTCGAATACAAGAGACATGAGGCATGCTTCGGCTTGCGGAATACAGGTTGTTGTTATCTGACCACGACCTGCACTATCTAAGCTTCACTTTTTTTTAATCACCGTAATCCATCTAGGTTTGGAGATGACAACAGCTGCCTTCCGATAAAGGCCTTGTGGGTAGGTGTGTAATATGAACAGCTAAAAGTAATGGATAAACGAAGTTTATGAGTCGAAAGAAAAACACTTACAACACTTTCAAAATTAGTGGAATGAATTTTTCCAGAAATTCAAAATTTCAGCAGCCCAGCACCACGACATTCTCCGAACGCTCCGCCTCCATCGGCGATCAACGGACACACAAGAGGCGACGGTGGGTGCACCACTAAGGCTTTCGCTTTTAATGGGCTCTTAGAAGTGAAGGAAAGCCCGTTTTATTCGGAAAAAGCACACAACTATTGTACTCAGTTTTACTGTTAAACAGTTGGTTTCTATTTACAATATTAGAATATTAGGGGTGCTAATGAACCTCTTCTACCAATTCATTTCCTCCGCCATCTTTTATTCGTTGTAGTGGTGTTTTCACTCAATTCTTCAGTCGTCATGAAAAAAACTTTCTGGTAAAAAAGGATAAAAAGTATGAAACTCTCGGCGTTGACCAATCCCTGGGAGATGCGCCATGCATTCGACTTCATTAATGTCGTTTGGAGGTGATTGTGATTCAATGCATATCTGGCCTTTACAATGACTCGCGGTGGCCTACCGATGTATCGAGCCGATGCTGCTACCCTCCTAGGCAAGTCTGGTTCCAATTTACCAAACCCGGAGAGATGGAGGGCTTGCTGGTCAATGGGCGCGAGAATCGATTCCACGCGTTTGTTGCAGGGCGCCTCCAACCACTGCGTCACCCGCGCCCTTTCCAACAAAAGTCGATCTAATTGGCGGACATTAATTTTGTTTGCATACATCTGGGAATCCTTGCGCTATGTAGTTTCTAAATATATGGAGAGATAATTGGACAACGGTACTTTGCACTGAGCATAGATGATCGCTACACCAGTCATTGCCAAATATTCAAGAGCCTTTACTACTTTGATCAAACCTGTAGTTCATTAAGTCATTTACAACAGAAATGGGAAATATCGCATGCTCCAACCTTTATGTGTTTTGATTTTACCAGACTTTAGCTTCGGATGTCGACAGGCTTTCGCTGGGCAGCGGAGAAGTGCCGTTCATCCAGACACCGCAGACGGACGGACTTATTGAGGCACTTCCGAAGTTAGGTCTCGAACTTGCTCATGTCGTGATGTTCGTCAACGCCTACAACCATAACTGCTCAGTAAGCAAGGCTTTAATGATGCTCAGTTTTATAAGAAAAGGTGCAGTCAGCATTCTGAACGGCAAGGTGTAGTAAGCATTTTGAACGGCATGGCTTGTTTCATCAATCATCATTTGAAACATTTCATCAATCGCAATCTGATATGATTTCCACTATATTTCACTTGGCATCTTATAAGGTGCACGAACTTTGAAAGCACTTTTTCGAATAAAATTCACCAAACTACAGCCTTAACCTTAAACTGCTCCAACTACAATGTCTTAAAAACTGGTGACTTTTCGTGATAAGTGAGGGAACTCGAAAAACTGGGAATGATCACTGTAATTGCAAAACACGGCGATATTAATTGGCCGGCGAGAAGCTGGTAGATAGCTTCTCGTTTAGCTGTGGTGAGAAGAAAGTTTAAATACCAAAACAGCACAGTGATGCTGAGATATTTGCGATACTCCAGACCGCAGGTGTCTGCGGTGTGGAACGAACGCCTTACCACCTTTTCTGTTGGCTAAGCATTCACTACCGTACCATGTCAGTCATTCGTTTCATCTCAGCTAGCTCTATCGACCAGTTCATCAGCTATCACCCGTCAACGGGGTTGATTTGGGGAGCCCAAATCGGCATTGAACCTAGTTAAGCTTAGTCTGTATTTTAAATCACATTGTGATTTCAACCAAAAAAGCATTTAACCCACATTTGAGAGGCGGAGAAAACAAGAATATAATTAAGTTGATATTCGTACTTTCTTAAAACATCCATTAATAAATCTGTCGATGTTAAATTTGACATTTGTTGGATTCTTTCTAACTGTCATCGGTTTCTCTTAGCGATTCATAAAACATTTTCTGAAAACGAAAAATCTGTACTTCAGGAGGTACTCTACTGTGTTAAGCAGCTTCAATTCGAGCATATCGAAGAGTATTGGACTGCTTTCTGGCAGCCGGAAGATGACCTTGAAGATGACGAGTGAGTATCTTCTCATCTGAAAAATATGCTTCTAAAAAGAGGATATGAACAGCGAACGCTCGGCTTCTTGTTGGATTTGACAACAAGAATTATTAGAAGCGAAAATAATAAGACATGCAACCTTCTACGAGGCTAGCTATTTTTGTGACTGAGAGAATGATCTGGCTTTTTTTTGGCTGAAAAACGCTGACGCGAGAATAACAGAAACATTTGAAGTAAAATAGTTGAATGTGTCGTTTTCTTGTTCAGCAATCGCGAGGTTTTTAAACGGCATACATTTACTTCCATAGAAAAATACAATACAATACAACGCTAGCTGACGTTTCGGCAGTATCGCCTTCTTCAGAGCCGCTTTTTCGTGACTTCCAAACTTTCGTGGCAGTCGTCAACCACATGCGACTATAATCAGCTGTTCTAAACTTATTGGAAGTCACGAAAAAGCGGCTCTGAAGAAGGCGATACTGCCGAAACGTCAACTAGCGTTGTATTGTATTGTGTTTTTATGGAAGTAAATGCATGCTGTTTAAAAACCTCGCGATTGCTGAACAAGAAAACGACACATTCATATTCCAATGCCGAGGTTAAGAGAAAGTCGATCCTGGGAACTAAAATAGTTGACTTTCAGCAAATCGCTAGGCCAGACACGGCTCTCTCAGCAACAGCTCTTCTCGCTATGTACCCTTCCGCAAATCCAACACTGGGTTATTTCGCTAGACCTAGCGTTCTACCAGACTTTGGTTGATGTCCTCGTGCCGGATGTACTCATGAGCAATATGTCACGTATGTTCGTTCATTTTCGAACTGATTTCGCTAATGTAGATTCTGATCTCCATTTCTCTCAGCATTCCTCACTCAGTCTTGCCGAAATTTCGCAAAGAACGCTGAACATTACCTTAAAAAAGCGATGCAAGGAGCTCCAGAAATTATCCAGAAAAAGAAGATTCAAGCTGTTAAATATATGGCTCAAGGATTGCGAAGGTAAGAGTTGCACTTCTAGTGGATTTCGATAATCTCACCTTGGTTATAACCCAGGTACACATCTCTAAACCACCTCGCACAAGCAGCACGAGCTGTGCTTCAGAAACCCGATCAAGTGATGGCTATGTACAACGACTACATTAGGTAAGATATGAAGACCCAGCTCTTCCTAATATTTTATTCGCTCGGTAATGGTCCCTAAGCTTTAGAGCAATGGAATGTTCAGCTGGCAACGAGACACTTCGGCATGATTCCCTCTCATCTTGCTGAAATACTTCATCACGATTCTCTCCCACCTCATTTCCAGAAGTCTATGTCTATGTCAGAATTAATCACTTCGCCATTAATTTGTTCACATATAGGACGGACAGCGCAGCAGTAGTGATACCTATCATCACGAGCATGGTTCTGGTTCGATTCCATTCCGTTGTCACCAATCCTCTCTTCCTTACGATGTTGGGAAATTCGTACCAAACTTGTCCGGAGAAAATTCGCTGTCTGCTATTCAAGTGTGAACGGTCTAGCCCGGCAATCTCAGGACTCCAAGGAAAATCGACTCGGCCAACATTCAGCGACCTTCATGACAAGAAAAAATCTTCAAGGATTAGTCGAAGCCGCACGCAAAGAGATGGAGGGTCCTCATGGATGATGGATGCGGAAACGAATCGAATACGAGAGGTGCTAGAATCCGCACACTAGATGTGAAAGGCGGGTCATATATAAAAAATTCGCTCATATGACTCATTTGCTCATATGACAACATGTCGAATGGTTGCAAGAGTTTCATTCGACTTTGTTTGAAATTAAGTGCTGAAAAAATGACGTTAGAGCATAAATATGCCTTAGTTCTAAAGATAATCTTTCTTGGCTTAGAAAATTAAATTTCTCAAGTCTGTATGAAAACGGTCCCATTCAAAACGACGAATATTACACTGGCGACATTATGTGGATAAAAAGATAAAAGAAAGAAAGAAAAATTCGAATGCTGTAAAAAAGAGAACAACAGATTTATTATGTGGATATTTGAACTACCGTTATTTATCTTGAGACGATCGTTTCAGGGTCGACATGCAGCAGGTGCAAGAGCAGGCCGGTTGGGTGAGCGGATGCGACTCGTTAATGGTGCACCACATTCACAACGCTTTCAAAGAGAACTTACAAAAGATGGCACCGATGGAGGAATGGGCCGAATGGCTGGAGAGCATCGTCGATCAGGTGATGGACACTAGAGGAACATCTTTTTAGGGTGATGTAGCAGGGAAGTAGGCGTGTAGGGAGAGTAACTGTGTAAAATATACTTCCACATCGTGTTTTACCTCACGTTGAAAGCAATTATACTTAGCAATCCTGCGTTTCGCTTTGCATCGCTTCACAGAAATCTCTCTATTAGAGACCTCAAATTAACAGCTCTTACGATGTAACATTCATACATTAAACTCCGTTTTCCAGATTCTCGCTAAATACCACGACAAGCCGGTACAGATAATATCAGAGATTGGCAAGCAATTTTTACTAAATTGGAGTTGTTATACGTAAGTTCGTCACAGCTCTAACGCTCTTTCATCCATCATCAGTCACGAACCAAATGTCTTTTCAGTTCGATGCTGATCCGAGATTTAACACTGCGTTCGGCCGGCTCGTTCGGATCGTTTCATTTGATCAGACTGCTTACCGATGAGTATATGGTGTATTTGGTTGAGTCACGTATTGCCAAGGCTGTCAATCGAGCTATGATCACCGTGATCAGTCAGGTGAATCTCTTAATGACGCAGAACGAACTTCGGTTGAAAGGATACCGAACTCTAACCTGCATATATCTCAGAAATTGGTAAAATGCTTCACAAGTTTTGTTCCCAAGTTCAAATATGACCGGTAATTACATTACAATGGATGCTCAGATTCATTGCTTCTGATGTTTTGAGATAGTTTCACTTATATGATCGTAAAAACTGATCTTCTTAAGTCGATGTGAGGTTCGTATAGGTCTTCGTTGTCGTTGTCGTTGTTGTTGTTGCTGTTGGTGTTGTTCGTCGATGGCTGACGTTTCGTTGATTTCGCCTTCCTCAGAGCCTGCACTTACTCTTTGGGATGTTGTTGTACTGGCACCAATATGTGCTTTGGTAACGCAGTGGTTAGACGGTCTGTGTAGCACACGAGTTCTCGTTGGTTTGACCCTGCTCCCCGAATAAACCAAACCTTCTCGCCATGTATCCTAGTACAAGACTTCTTTGCGATTGGCAATAAAGGTAGTGAGGTAATTCATCTGCGAGAAGCCGCAAATAATTGTAGGGACTAGATACCCATTAAATCATCTCTGCTGTGCTGCAAATGGAGTCAGATGTATGCCGCATCTCTCAGGAATTGATCGACGCCGAAAGCTTGAACCTTTATTTTTCCATCACTAGCATTTTTTGACAGCGAATTCACTGTGCTGAGGTCGAGAAAAGCTCACTAGAGCGGCTACATTATTTTTCAGCCCACTGACTATCCACTATTTGACGACACTTTGCCGCCACTTCCTCCGATGTCACTCAGTCAACAATATATAATTTCAAACAGGCAATCAGAACACATTTACGATCAAAAGGTATGTTTGAATTTTTTGCACTTATAACTGAAATTGAATGCGCTCCAAGGCTCAAAAAACAGGGAATCTTTCAGTTTGCTTCACATGGCTCCGTTAACAGTAGACAAGTCCAATCGTTGGGAACCGGTAAGTCACTTCTGTCTGAAAAAAGCAGTAGTAATCGTCTTCTACTTGTGACCATCGCCTCGATAACTCATTGATTATTTTAGTAGTTAGTACTATTTTGCCTCACGCAAAGGCAGATAAGTCAGTCTACCTTTTAGAAAGTCAAAAAATAGAAATAAGCTCAAAAAAGTCAGGTAGTCATCGTTCAGTCGAAGTAAAAGTGGCATGCTATGCGAAGCTACAGTGGTCGGAAAGCAAAACTTTTTTGATGAAGGGGAGTGTCGCCTGCGCTAGAAGGACAGGAAATCTTACGAAGATTCCTTCAACGACCTCGCCACTTCCATCGGTGATGGAAATTATACATAATAACGCGTTATGATGAAGAGCTGCCCTTGTTCCGCTTTAGTTTTGTAACTTCTTGATACTCGGCGCAGTAGAGTTCTCATAAACGGTAGATGGAGGAATGTCCAAGACATGCTATAACTTTTCGAAAAAATATATAGAGAGAAAGTGTAGCAACTTAACAAACACATGGCACTGTGCCCATAACTGGGAAGCCTCCCACCAATTGTTCCTGACAGACGGTAATCAATATTTATATTCTTCACTACCACACAGTGTTTAGTTTCATTTGGTGTAACTCAGGTTTAACTAACTAGTAGAACCAGTTAGTGAAATCAGATGGAATTATAACTGATGTACGGCTGAAGGTTTCCAAGTGAAAACGACTACCGAGAACGATGCTCTGTTTCATTCGACTTCTCTTCTAATGAGTTAATTGTGCTTTTCTGATCCGATTCAGTTGCAGAAGTGCTCGAAATCGGCAACAAATCCATGCTGATCTGAATCCTCCTTGTCCATCAACAGCAGTAGATCTCATACTGACTGATCTCAGTTCAATTTCTATGTTAGTAGAAAACCCTATCCTTATATTGCACACAGCAGAGTATATGTTTCCAGCTTTTCCGTTTGTGAGTGACACCGTTCGTAATGTTCTTTTGTTGTCTTATTTTTGCAATACAATGTAATTTGTAATTTGTTAAAGCATCTAGTTGTTTCTGATCCAATCCATAATGTAATAGGCCATCTGTGATAAATATCGCTACCCATACAATTTCCACTATGACGTACAGAACCCATTACGGAACACTTGAACCTGCAATACATTAGTAGTAACGAAATAGTAGTAGTTCAGTGCCATATTTACAATATATCGTGATACATTTTGCTTGGGACTATTGCTTAGAAGCGTTAGTTAGGATCTGAGCTTGGATTCCAATTCGGGAACTGTTTCGAAGCGACCCATGGTCGCCTGTTTACTGCGGCAGTAGAAGAGGGTACCGAGGACACTAAAAAAGAGGAAGTCAACGAAACGGCGGAACCAGTGACGATCCTGTTTCCCACCTAACGGATACCAGCGATAGCAGCACAATCAACGCAATAATCTCAACCAGATTGTCACGAACTGCTTGTCGATGAGGAATCTAAAAATTCCGCTTTTACATTCGAAAAACAGGATACTTTAGCGGTTATTTCCTCGGCTCAGCTTAAAAATTTTAAAAACACAATGTGAAAATTATCCCTAGCTTCAAGGTTTAACCCTCACTTCACAGGTGTTCTACTAATAAACCAGAGAAAAAAGGGAAGTGTCAAATCATATCCACCACTAGTTGCGTTGCTCTGAATAAACAAAAAAAATCCAGCAATACAGTTTGAAAATAGAAATCTCTCACAAATTTATCGTGGATCTGTGAAATTTTTTAAGCTCACGTTTGCAAATAAAACCCAAAGCGTGATGTAACCACTTTTCATTTACTGCCTACTCTTTTTTCATGGCAGTATATGATGGGAAACACAACTACAATGATGGTGAGAAATTTGCAAAACTCAAGACCGCAGTAGAAGGGTGAAACAAGAGACACGCATGGTGTAGTGGTGAGGGCGTTAGGCCACGAAAAGGGTAATAGCGAGCTTCAATCCTTGAAGCAGACACCTGCGGTCCGAAGTTCTGCGAATATCTCAGCACCATTGCAGTTGTATTTCACAAAGCATAATGTTAGCTTGTTATTTACTGTCTGTTATCATTATTCACAGCAGAGTATGATGTGAAATACAACCACTATGATGCTAAGACATTTGCAATACTTGGACCGCAGTCCAGATCGAACCGCAATTACACTTTCCGGGAGCTCATGTGTTACGCACGGTACCACTGAGGCCTTCGCTTTGCCTTTTTCGCAGCGATTTTTCTACCTAAGGATGGCATATCCATCAATAATGACCCGTCAACGGATAAAACAAAGCATTGTGAATTTGGCATTGACCAATCCTTTAGAATTGAGTCATGCATTCGACCTCATTCGTAATATTGCTGAGGAGGCGCATATCTGGCTTATATAACGGCTTGTAGACGAGAGCATGCTGCATCCTTCAGCGACTGATCAAAGTCGAAAACTTCATGCCTCTACTCTTTGAAGATCACGTACCTTCGTCGTTCCGTTCCTTGGACTACTTGTTGTGAAGAGAAGATTCTGGTATTCCATCTCTGTCATCACTGTGCATCGCTCGAGGTTTTGTACGGTGCGGAAGTAAGGACAGCTCTGGAATGTTCTAGAAGATCACTGCTCTCTTTCTTAGCAGATAGCTACAATTTCCGTGCTAAGTATTTAAAAAACCATTGGAACTAACCACTGATGGACAGTAGTATGAATCCTGTGAAAACGTCATGCTTGAGAAATTGAAACTCGGACCGGCTATCAGCCGATTCCACAGCCACTTTGCTGCATATGTATGACCTTTTCTGAAAACATTTACAAATTCTTTATAATTCTTCAATAACTAGAGAACTCGATGACCCGATAAATATAATTAAGAAATTTTGCTGAAGCTTATAGAAAATTTTTTCAAAATTTTTTCTTCTATCTGGTAAAGGTTTCCAATCTCGTTTTGTTAAGAAAGGAATCTAAAACTTTGAAGTTCTAATGGTCCCTTCTCCTATGAATTGAATTATAGCACGATTTAAAGTCTGTACTTCAAGATCAGTCTCGCTACACAGTCTTTGAGCTCTCGGTTGACTAGTCGTGAAATTCGCTGGCACCCCAAGAGTTGCTGCAGTTCTAGAAGAATCCGAGTTTCAAGGCAGGAAATTCCCTTACAATCTATAATACAAACGCCAGCAACTGCTCGAGGCAGCGACCTGAGCCTGAAAAGCTCATAGCTAACACCCAACACGTTTATTCGGTAAGGTAACGGAGCCTGAAGTTCCAACCAAAGTCACAAATGAGCTCGACCACCTCTTTGATTCATGGTTGCAAAATATCGAAAAAAGGAAGAAGTTCTGGAAGAGCACGACATGTTAAGACGTCTCATCTAAGCGTCTATGTAAGTACAATAGTATGATAATTGTAACTTATTACTTACTGCCTACTCTTTTTAATGGAAGGGTATATTGCGAAATATAACTTCAACGATGCTGAGATATTTGCAAAACCCCGGACCGCAGGTGCCTGCGCTGGAACGCGCTATCACCTGCGGTACGGAAATAAACTCTGTCATTAAAAAGAGTAGGCAGTAAGTAATAAGTTAAACTTGTGATTATAACTACAGCCCCAGCTTAACTGGGTTCATTGTCGATTTGGGCTCCCCAGATCAATCCCGCTAACACGTGATTGCTGATGGTAAAGATCGATAGAGCTAGCTAAAAGATAGGCGAAACTAAGGACCCGCATGGTGTGGTGGTGAACGCATTACTCCCCGGAAAGGACAATAACGCGTTCGTTCCCCACCGCATACACCTGCGGTCCAGAGTTTTGGAAATATCTTAGCATCAATGAATGGTATGATATCTTGGCATCATTTGTGTCCCTCAATCGGTGTTAGTAAATCTATTTCTCATAGTCACGAGCAAGAGTACTCCAGTGGGTGCTGCTCGCTCTAAGAACTCGTTAGGCATTGTATCTTTCTTCCAGGGCTTTCTTAAAGAACTATGACCGTCTGGTTTGACATCCCGAAAAAACTAGTCACTAACGGGTCTTGTTCAACGGTTATGACTCAATTCTTCTCTCTTGATAGTCGTTCACACGCATTATGTGTCCGACCCACCTTTTCGTCGACAGGTTGACGTATGGAATGGCACCTTCGATTTTTCATCGTTGGGATAAGTTGAAGATTCGTTCCTCTCTCTCTCCCACTCGGGTAATACGGGATACTCTTGTCAACGACCTTTATGCGAGCTATGTAACATTGAGTGGTCTTTTAACCTGTTTACGCAGCCACTAAGTTTCTGACGTAAGGCGAAAAGGATCATGATCGAAAAAATGGGCAAAAAATCGGGTGTTCTTTGTTCTCTTCACTACATCCTCGATGACTACACATCAGCGCCCCGAGCCGCACGTTTCCTTCTGCTCAACTCTGTAGCTAAGTCATTCTAGCCAGTAAGGTTTACGAGTCCTAGTATTATCGGTCTTATTCAACAGTAGGTCTGTTTTCGCAAAAATTTTGTTTTGTAGTTGAAATCTAAGCACATTTCAACTGTTGCCAACTGATTGTGTTTGGTAGATATTTTTAAAACGATTCAGCAACTTGGAAACGTAAGTCGTTTCAATTACTATTAAGATTGGGATCCGATACCTGTTCAGCAAGCTTTTTCCTGGAACCAGTAGTGACTCCGGAACTCTCGAGTCTATTGAAAGCAAAGGAATCGCCAGTACTCCAAAAGTACTGTGGTTTAGACTGTTAAACTCATTCTGAACAATGAATTCTAAATTCTATTTCACTTGCACCACATATGAATAAATTGAAGCAATCGTCACATATTAAACATAACATGGTTAAATCAATATTGGTGATTCTGTCAATCAATCTAGAACTACACGAAAGAGATCTACTGACCTATGGCTACCGGAAAAGGAAAACAGGAAAAATGACTGACCTGGACTCTAACAAAAACGTCTCGCCACTCAGCGATTATTGAACGATACCGTCTCGTCGAAATCGACTCCAAACAACGACATCGAGGCCTAGAAATTGAACGTTAATGAAATGTTCTTAGAATTTATAAGCACAAGAATGGAAATCCAAGAGCAAAAAGTAGATTTCCTAAATGCTAAGGACATCATCAAAATTGGTGAGAGTATGGTTAGAAGGTGATAGGAGCACAAACTAACAATAGTGGTTGGTGTCTAAGAATACGCACATTGTCGTTGGTTCGATTCGGCGCTTTGGGCAAACTCAGCTCCCAGTCCTTTCGTAGATTGTCTGGTGAAAGCATTAATTTGAGCAATATTTTAAGACTCACTTTTCTTTAACCTCGGTATGAATGACTAATTTAGACACCAACACGCTACTACAAGATAACCCGAATCCGTGAAGACGTGATCAATGCTCTGTATGTATCAACAGGAGATGAGTTGTGAACTCCTATTTAAATGATAGAACACACTGAACGCTTTGTCCATTCCGTTAATCGTGCAAAATTGGCCTCGCATTAATTTCTCCACTACTTCACTCTTCCACACATTCATCTCTTGGAATCTTTCAGCAGCAACAGTTAGTCATGAGATGTGTCGACTGCTTTCTGCAGTCAGGCACGGAGGATTTCGTAAGCTGGTATCCAGCTGTAGCAATGTATGGAGTGAGTAACGTCTCCTACGTTTCAGACGTCGTTCATAAATAAGACATAGACCTAAACTACTTTTTACGCAAGATCATATCGTAATCGAATGGCATTGTAGTAAGACGAAGTGCATGCTGCTACAAGACAAAGCACGAGGATCATTTATCCTGGACAATTACCTTAACGCGCCTACCCATTTTCTCTTCACCTTCAACAACTCCGGCACCAGATAACCCTGCAAATTCTGTAGTTAATCATCTATAATTTAAAGGAAACACGACACCAACCACTTCACAAACAAGGAAGAAAAAAACTGGCCAGTTAAAGATAACCGGTTTGCATCACGTTCATTGTTATGGCATGATGGGTACTGTAACCTGAACAAATCGAAGGAGTTCGGCTAAGCAAAATGTAAGCGCTCGATTTTGCCTCACATGAATGAATACGCAATGATTTCAAAACATATGTGACGGTAGTTTATCCTTTTCAGCTTACTCACAGCGATCTTTCCCAATTAAAATAAAACTACTAGAATCCACACATATTTGCCAGCAAAATTCGAATATCCTCATCTCATTACAAGAAAGTGATGGGTTTCCGTAACTCGTAAACCACTTTTGTTTTCCTTTTTATTTTAAACAGCAAAGAAACAGGTGGGACGGGTTTTCGACAGGAACGCACAATGGTGCTCCCGAATACGTCCTTCATGGTTGCTGAACTCATCCTAGACATCCATAACTTTTCCGTTATGTTCTTTTAGTCCTAAACACTCAACTTATTATGATAAATAATCATGCGCATGGACGAGATTTTCTTTCCATAAAATGTCGAGATAGCTTTGCTAAAACTTTCCAAGCTGCCACCATGGGCAGAATCTTTGTGGATGGAAGAAGATTTGTCGGTACACTTGTTATCAAGACGGTGGCGATTTCTGGTATTAATTTAGTATTGCTCGGTTATTGTTTTGCTCTTAGTTGGGTCTTCGAATAAAAACTCCTGTAGAGCTTTTCTTAGCTTGGAAGACTCTGTTGGAGAATGGTTCTACCCATCCAGTGACGGGGAAAAGTAGCACGGTGGACAAGTGGCCTTGCTGTGACGCTGACTCAAACATGAGAAACTTCCCATTGCATGAAGAAACAGGACTTTAGCCATCATTGCAGTAAAGAAAGAAATGTCGGAGAGTACATCATAGTTGATGGATATTCCGAGATTTATTGGCCAAAATGCCTGAGGAAATGTGCAAGGTCACAAATTCGGTAAAAAGTTCTCCTTCAAATGTTTTGTTTGCTCTTTCTGCTTAACGACAAAATAACGATCTTATTACAGCAAAAACAAGAAAAAAACTACTTAGAAAAGGATAACAATAACTCACTAGAATTAGGAAGGACACTTGCTTATGAAGAAAGACACCCACTTAAGCAAATTAATATGCAGTTTGTAGGAAGAGGCGACATGAACCGGTCCAAGCAGCACCACGAAAGCTTTCAGAATTCCTTTACGAAGAATACCCAATGCACGACGAATGGATGAGTGGTCAGGAGAGTCACAGCGATTACAAAGCTAAAAATGAAAAGCATTTGGCCTTATATTCAAAGGAAAAATTGTTGACAGTTCTTGTTTGGCATACACAATGCGTCTGAAGAAAAAGACATTACCAGAAGGGCTGGTAAGTTCAATAACTCGTAACCAATCAAATTTTGTAATCCACAAGCGTTGATTCCTTAAATAATATAGCCCAATAGTTAGTTAGAAATGTCATGAATGAGAAGAATTACCAGGAGGTGTTTATCTTGTTCATAATTGCCATCGAGAGAGTTTCGAAAAGTCACGTAGCTGAACGGATTGAAGCACGCTACAACTACAAAGATGCCGAGATATGAGCAAAACTCAGAACCCCAGATGAGTTTCGAACCCGAGATTACCCATTCGGAGACTGACGTTTTACCTGCCGCACCAACCGAATCCACGACATTGGCATTCTCTCATTCATGTTTCCTTTTATTTTCTTATTCTCATAGTGCTATCAGCAAGCAACAGTTAGCAGGAATGATCTGGAGAGCACAAATCGGTACGTAACTATGTTAAGCTGAAGGTGCAATCGAGTGATTCAGTGAATCATGACAGCGAGAAAGGGAAGGTAAGAGCATCGGTTATTGGGTTGGATACAGCGTGATCCTCTTGAAAGGGTGATCGAGGGATCGGAGCCCATGATCAGAGTTTTGCTCATACCTCAACATCATTGTGGTTGTATTTCGCATAATGCAATGCTGTGAAAAAATAATAATTAACAAATAAAAGTCGTGGAGTAAGTGGCGCATGTGGCGAAGTGGTCGAAGGCGCCCTACAACACACATGGGGTCGGTCCCCGTGTCTCTGGCCCACCAAGCCTTCCATCTTGCCGGGATAAGCAGATTGGTACCATTCCTGTCTGGGTGGGCAGCAGCACGGCTTCAATGTATCGGTAGGCCATCGCGGGTCACTGTAAAGGCCAGATATGCATTCAGTCACCTCCAACGATGTTTAATAAAGGCGAATGCATGGCACAGCCCTCAGGGATTGATCAACGCCGAGAGCGTTATCCTTCTTGAAAGAAAGTCAAACACTGAAGGACGACAGTCTTAACAAAAAGAAGAAAGCAGGGGCGGGTAACCTCTTCAGTTCCTGTCGCAATCGTCACCAGTACCCATTTCCTCGCCAGGGCACTCGACGACATCACAGAATTTAGACGGCGAATCAGCTCAGTTGCCTAAATGAATGAATAATTTCAATCTGCTCACTAAATTACCTGAAATTTCTATCAGAAACGCGATAAATTTCACTGATTGCTCATAAATGTTAATAGACACGTTTGAAGCTCCACTTTTCCATAACATATTGTGTTTTTCTCATGCAGTGTTTCCTTTAAAAACGAACAGCAGTCAGAGCCGACCACCTCCCGCACTATGGTTAGTTCATCTATATTTTACACGGCTAATCAAGGTATAAATTGTTCAAACAAATGTTAATTTGGGCAAATACGAAAGGAAGGAACCTGTTCTGGAAGGGACTCAGTCTCCGTGTTCGATTCGGCAACGTTCAGTTGATAGTCTGGAAGACGACTTCGTGTTCCCATACCATGGGCAACACCTTCCAAATTCTGGTTGAATTCCAGTAAAATGTCTCAAAAAAGAATTACTTATAGCATTAACAGATTTCTCGTGAAAAAGCTCTTAGGCTAATTTTCAGGGGGTTCCTAAGCTTTTTCCCAGAACGAACTTGGAATGGTGACTAGTCCATCGATGTTAGCATCGCCACCAATGGGAAATGCGGCCCCACGAAATTCGACGTCTGTTCCATCCCATAAACCACGACCAGCCTGAAAACTTCCCTTTTTATAAAAATACAAAATAGCCTCACAGTAAATTCTTTAACACAATTGGTAATCCAGCCAATAATAGTGGGAGCCCACTTGTTCAATACCGTAATCACCACCATATCCAAAACAGCCAAAAAAAACCATCCATCTTTTTCATAAATCTTGTGTCTAAAAAGTCACTGCAACTATTTAATGGAAAATGGTAGTGGACAAGTCGTCCGACTTTGGGAAATTCTTTAGTGTTAAGGATTGCACTAGATACGATAAGCACCGTGGAGGTGGCCAAATGCATATTGACTAAGACAATTAATTGTCAAGACCCATCGATGTAACAAGTCAATGCTATTTATTGGACTGGATAATTATAGCGGCAAATGGCCGACCGTGAAGGGATAGAAGGCTTGGTTTGCCCAGGAGAAGGATGTGAAAAGCAACCATGTGCGTACCGCAAGACACCTATAGCCAGGGCGCCACACGCGTATTCTATGATCTAAGAGAAGACTTGGAAGCATGATGATTTTCATTTGATGAGGGGTTTACCTTTAATTATTGATGGATATGATAGAAGTAAAAGAACACCACTAATTTGTATTCGGAAAAGGGAAAGGTAAGGCAAAGGAATTTGTACTAGGCAATGATAATGGCTGGAAAGAAAAGTGAGAATCAAAGGTAGCTTGTAGAATAAATAATGGCTGCTTCACTGAGTGTAGAGTCGTAGATCGTCGGAACCGATGACAATGATTGCCACTAAGCGGAAATTGCCTAACTTTAGGCGCTTCAGGGCCTCAAAGATAAGCCATCAAACTGGAAATCTTATTCGATCCTAGTCCTTCGACCAGCTTTTCTATCATAGGGAAATGAAGGACCGACATGGTGTGGTGATAAACGCGCTAGCACCCGGAAAGGGTAATGACGCTTTCGTTCCCCACCGCAGACACCTCCGGTCCGGAGTTTTGCAAATATCTCAGCATCATTGTGGTTCACTATCATTGTCTGATTTATGAAAGAAGTCACAAAACTATTCTAATAAAGTGAATTGCAAACCGTAACCGCGTCACCCATTGCTGCGACAATGTCGATGTCCTCTGGTGATAGGTTGGCCAGTGAATCTCCCTAAAGAAACTGATTTTATAAATAAGGCAAAGACTTCAATGACAAAGCTTACAGTGTGTAGAACCGGCTTGGCCAGAGGACATGAAAAAGTTTGCTTGTTGGAGAAGGCACTTGATATTTGCGAATTCACCACATCCTTCGACTGACTGCAATTGACTTCTTTGCATTTAAGTGAATGAAAAACATAAACAGATGTACAAGCAGCCTGGTAAGGATGCTGTGTTGATAAAGAATAAAGAAGAAAGCTCTCGGCATTGACCAATCCCAGAAGGATGCGGCATGCATTCCATCTCATTAAGCATCGCTTGGAGGTAACTAAATGCATGTCTGGCCTTTATAATAACTCACAGTGGCGTGCCGTGTATCGAACCAGTGCTGCTATCCTCCCAGAGAACTCTGGTACCAATTTGCCGAAGAACGGAAGGCTTGGTGGGCCATGGGTGGGGCGATGGATTCCACTTGTGTGTTGCAGGGCACCTCCAACCACTGCGCCATACGCGCCCGTGTTGTGTGTATAATAACTAAAAAGGTTGAAAAATAGAAAACCCAAAACTATAACTTGCTAGGTCGCAGAAAAATCAAAGCTTTTAATCCTATAAGATTATTAAATGAATATAGGAACAAATATTCGTTGTACGCCTTGTTGCTGCAAACTATTTTGAAGCTTATTTCATACCTAACAACTGGTCACATAATACTTTTCTGAGACTGCTTATGTTGCACTGATTCTAGATATATTCAATTCATGTTTTCAAAGTAGTCTCAGGATTTTAAACTTGGTCACAAAAACGGCAGCCATGAGAAATGTCAGTGAAGGACCTTCCACGGAAGTGCTCCCGAAGCCTAACACGCAAATGGTTCAAAAGGTTTCCTGTGGGATATATGAGTGTTCATGTGGGCAGAGGTCATCCAACTCTGTAACTCGAATTTCAAAACCACTTAGGTCAATAACGTGGCTGAAAAAAATGCGAAACGAAGGACTCGTATGGTGAGGTGGTGAACGTATTAGCCCTCCCTCCAATAGGTAATAGAATGTTCGGCATCCACCGCAGACACCTGCGGAATTTTGCAAATATCTCAGCACCATTATGGTTATTGATTTCCATATTAGGAGGCGAATATAACATCACAACCACGGTGCTAGTTCCATCTCGCTCCAGGCCCACCTAGCCCCTTATCTCTCTGGGGTCGAAAATTTGGTATCGAACTACTCCGAGAAAAAAACCTGCTCGCTGTAATCCAATTGGAAACGTTCCAGCCCGGTTATCTCAGAACATCAGGGAGAAAGATTTCGACTGGCATTCGACAGCGTTCAAGACTGAAAATCCTTAAGCAAACAGCCAAAGCTATACATAAAGCATAAGTTTGGGTACGGTTTATTTGATCTCTTGTAAAGCGTGCGGACACGAATTCATTGGCAAAACCGGTAGACCACTTTGCATTCGTATAAAAAAACACCTAGTCGGCAAACTTAAACCAAATACTCCACTCGACACGGATAGGACTCAGAAACGTAATGGGGAGGACGTTGAAGTAGGGGTTGTGATCCTCGCACAGGAATCGAAAGCACAAGCGTGCAAAATTATTGAGGCATTCTGGATTAATTCCAAGAATCCGGAAATGAACCGCAGGTAGGAATTCCCCACTACTGTTATTGGACAGTATTTAACCTGTCATTCTGACGGGTGGAGCACATTACGCCTCCATGTGAACTCTGCGCGGTTAGTCTCCACATGATATGTTCAGTGGAAGACCCACAGAAAACGGTGAGAGTGCGAAGAAGCTCCTCCGTGTTCAATGTGATTGAAATTTTGGTTTCGCATTTTCTCTGTTTGGTTATGGAGGTGTTTCGCTGGGTAGATTGCGGTCAGCTTGACATTTCAGGCTCTGAGGAAGGCGAAATCCGCCGAAACGTCACCTTGTACGCAAATAAAGAAATAAAATAACACCTCGTGTTTGTTAAACAAGAATATGAAGTTCGACTGTTCGATCAATGCCGAGGTTAACACAAAGTCGGTCGTGGGAATTAGTGCACATAAAAGTTGGAAGACCTCAGTGGGTGGATGCGAGGAAGCGAATCGAATGTGAGAAGTGCTATTATCCACACAGTAGGGTAGAACACGGGTCGTATACAATAGAAAAAATTCCATGCTTCTTATGTTGCAAGGGTAAGCAGAATTCTCGTGGAGTCACAGAATGAGAGCCACTGAAGAAGTTAATTCGGTCAATTCGACAATATTTCATGTGGAGAACGGCGTGGCAGTGTTACCACAAGATCCATCGTTGAAAACTCTCAAACAACCACAGCAATGCTTCAGTTGAAAAAAGTGCTGTTATTTCATTACTAGTTATGGAAGGGTGAAAAATGAGTAGGAGTACTTCCTATCAACTTTACTCGAGCGCGTGAGTAACCCATCCAAATATCCACCGCTGCCTTTAATAAAATTTCCATCTCGGCGGCTTACAATAATTTTTCACTTAGATGGATAGAGTACAATTACCTTGCGGGCCTCAGCAATCGACACTGTCTATTCGCTGAGTACCCTCAAACCTAAGAAAGTAATAAGAGTACTGATAAAGCATTCCAATTCCAATGGAGAATTAGCGCTGTTTTCATAGAGAAGCTTCAGCCACCATGCCATTTAGGTCTATCATGTTTATGACCAGAGCAGTGATGACAAGCTTGGATTTTCAGGAAAGTGATATAGCGTAGGTAACTTTTCCGGCTCACCAGCCATCAATAAACATTAGAGTTTGATTTCCATGAGCAATAGCTCACAACTTTGAGGTGAGGAGTATTCGAAGAAAAACCTACGGTCCGAAAAGTAATCAAGAACTTCGCGTTGCAAAAAGCCGACAAAAAATACCCGTCTTTCTCGACCTTGTCGTCATCTTCCAGCTGCTCGCTCGAATGAGAATCCTTGCTACTACTACTCCCATCACGATGATACAACTCTTTGGACGTCAGGTGAACGTTGATCTTAAAAAAAAACTAAGTCAATAAAGGAAAACTGAATGGCACAAAAACATGTAAATTTCTTTTTTGCCACAGAATTTTCGCTATGGCTCTACATTCACCTATCAACGAACCCGATGAAAAGCAAACTATGTAGTGTAATGGTATAATACTATCTGGAAAGCAGTGCTTTATAGAACCGTTCACTGTTAAAAGCTACATCCTTACATATTTCATGATCCGACAAACCGTGGTATAACATCATTGCAACACCTTACGATGTCACTCGTTCGTTCCCACACCGGGCCAGCTCTGCCCTTCATCGCCTAGAAGTTTGAAGATTTGTACTAAATTTATCCGGAGAAAGTTTGCTTCAGTCCATAACCTCCAAGAACTGTCTATAGGAAAGGCATGGAAACGCTCTAGCAAGGTTACGCTTTTGGATTCCAGCAAGAAGCAACTCGACCAGAATTTAACCAATTCAGCCATGATCAAGACAAAATCCTCAAGCGTCAGCCAAATCCACTTGCAGATCATAATACATTTATGCAGTACGGATGCCAGATTCCTGTTCTTCTTATAGTGTGGAGAAGGCCAAGAAAGAAACAATTTTGTGGTTTATATTCACAAAAAGTTTTGCCTTGTAATAGTATTTGTTACTTGCAGTCTTCGTGAACTGGCGGAGATGGCCGAGTCACATGTTGTTGACACTACAGTAATGTCTCCTTACTCTTCCATCTGATCGCCATTTACCACTCCAAGTGTGTCGGTAAATTAGCAGTCTCTTTGCGTTGGATAATCCATTTGGAGAGCCTTCTGTCTTTTCTGGAAGTGCCATCAAAAGATTCATCCGCTGAAGTAAACCCAAAGGCGTCGACCTTACCTGCTCTTTTCAGCCATGGGGAAATTGCAAATAATTTGCAAATACTAAACAGCTGCAAATGTAGAAATATGTATATACTGCAAATACACCAATAATTCATACATGTGTTTGTTCTGTGTATCTGACCGTCTAATCCTGATAGACAATTCTCGAAAATCCATCGGTTATGATTCCACCATCTTCTTCCTAGTCCTCAGATAAGATGCACATTCTTCTAATTCTTTGTTGATGGGAAGTAGAGACTCCATAATGTCTTCATCTGTTTTTTGTTCTCTATGCCCTAATTGCAGATAAGGGTCAGTTTATCTGGCGCTAATGTGATTGCTGAATGTGGAGCTTCATTGCGACGGAATAATGAACAAGCACTTCCTTGATGGCGTGAGATCATGAAAGAACAACTGCATTACCATATTCAAGACCGAATTTTCATTAAACAACGAGGACAATAATCAATATTTTGAATTATTAGAACGTTATTATCTAAGAGATGGCCAAGGAAGCTACAATGTGGTAGATGATGGCGACGAGAAAAGTGAAGAACAGCGATAATCTCAAAATAAAAGACATTCTTTGCTGAACTTGGAATGGATATTTTGATCAGTCCTATTTGACTTTCTTATTCCAAACCCCTCAATCTTTTAGCATAAAGGATGGAAGATAGAGCTCTCTCCGTTGATCAATCCCTTAAGGATGCGCCATGCAATCGGCTTCACCAATCATCGTTAGAGGAGTTCGAATGCGTATCTGGCCTACATAATGACTCGCGGTGGCCTACCAATGCATCGATTCACTGCTGTTACACCCCCAGCACAGGTTTGATACCAATTCGCTAATCCTCAGAAAGATATGGGGCTTGCTTAGCTTAGGATACAGAATCGAACGAACGACCGACCCTGCATGTATTGAAAAGGGCCTCTAACCGCTACTTTACAAACGCCATCATAAAGTAACAAGACGTAATAAATGAACTTTGATGAGAAAATGAGTTTAAACCAGTGCTGATTGACTGATATCGTACCGACGTCGCTACTTCGCCAAAAAAAGAGTTGATTTGTTCGCCGACTCGTGTAAACAGTGTCATCCCTTTTTGAGAGATATCGTTAGCGATTTCAGATTTACATTCCGCAGTGGCCCCCATCACTGTGACGTCGTTCGGTGGTTTGAAAATCAATGCACGATTTGTTATTTTCTTCTCCTTGCCAATGCTTTAGTCATATTTCTTTTCGAATACTGCTGCGGAACTTGTTTTATGCATATTCATTTTATATAATTAGACAATATAAAATGTGAAATCAACCACAACGAAGCTGAGACATTTGCAAAACCTGCACCTCGGGTCAGATCGAACCACGATTTCTCTTTCCGGGTGCTCGCGCTTTACACACTGCGCCACCCAAGCCTTTGACCTGCATTTACCTCAGCTAGTTTTCCATCTACCAGTGCCATCAGCAGCCACCCATCAACGGGAATGATCTGCGGGCTTGCA